CACTGACACCTGCTTCTCCCTCCCTTGCTGTGAGCATAAGGCTCAGGGGGCAATTCAAAAGGTGGGTGGAACAGGTGAGTGGGCGGAACAGGTGAGTGGGCGGATGGATGTTGAATGAATAGAAGCAACTTCCTTTTCTCTACCTCACTGGTCTTTGAGGAGTCAGCTGCTCTAATATAGTACATTGTTGCCTATTTGTAAGAAGGGTAAAAATGCATGGTGAAAATAGAAAGTTTTCCCATTCTAGGAAACTTGGACAAGGGTTTCTTCTGTCTCTAAATGAGAGCCTGTGTTACTTTTTTCTTTAGCTTAGAGACTGGTAAGTTGGACAGTATCTTCTTCAAAACTTCTGTGCAATCAGTTTAACCGTGTCCTTTCCCTAAGAATCCTTCAAGGTTAGTTACACATTCAACCAATAAAAAGGTAATAATAAGAAGAAACTCTTCATCTCCCACATGTAACTCAGCCTGATAGATTAACAATTGCCATTGATAGAAGAAATTTGCCAGAGTGGCTGGTCCAGGCTGTTGCCCTGCCCTGCTGAACTGAAACAGACACAGGAAAAAGTGATCAAAGCTTTACTGTACTTGCTGATCGTAGCAACACGCACTCTCTGACCAATCAAGAAGACGTCTGGTTCAGATAATATGATTACTATCTTGCACTTAAGAAGTGATCAACGGAGGCTTTTCAAAGTTAGGGAGGCAGTCGTTCCAACTGCCTTCCCAACAGAAGGGTCCTTACTGGCCCACCAGGCACAGTCCCGCCCCCTCTGCCAAAGGCAGTTATGACAGTTGGAAATAGAAGGTGCAGACGGCCCATAGTAGCTCCACACAAAGAACTCTCTGGTTCAGGAGACCGACTTCAAATGAACTGGGCTGCCTTTGGAGGGTCTGAGTTCTTCATCCCAGGAGGAATTCAGATAGAGGCTCCATGTCCGCTCAGCAGAAATTTCACAGAATGGTATCAGGAGTCAAAGGGGGGCGGGGAGAGGGAAGGTTGGATGTGATCATCTCTTCCCACCCTGTGAAAGCTGGTTCCACAACTCCAAATGCTTTCCCGTTTGTCTTCTTTCATTAATACCACCAGATCTCCACAGGAGAGAACAGTGGTTAATATGTTGGGCAGTGTTTCTGAAAGTGATGCTCATGAATTACTTACGTTAGTAATTCCTTGTGATTACAAAGGAGTTCAGGTCACACAGCAGGTAAGGCATTTGACTACTTAACCAGAAGGTTGGTAGTTCAAACCCACCAGCTGCTCTGTGGAAGGAAGATGGGGTAACCTACTTCTGTAAAGATTTGCAGCCTTGGAAACCCAATGGGGATCACTAGGAGTTGGAATGGATTCGATGGCAGTGAGCTTGTTTTTTTTTTTTTGTTTTGTTTGTTTGTGATTACAAAAACCCACTGTAGACTACTGAATCAGGCTCTTTGGAGCTGGGGCCCAGGAGTCTGTATTTAATATATTTTGTAGGTGATTCTTAGACATTAGTAAAGTTTGTGAATCACTGGCTTAGTGATTAAAAGCACTTTAGAGGTTCAAATCCTGCCTCTACTAAGTGGGTGATCTTGGATATATTACTTAAATTCTCTGGGTCTTGGTCTCCTCACCTGTGAAATAGGGAAAATAAGTAATTCCAGTCTTACACGGATTCTGTGAGATTAAATAATATATGTCACACACTCAGTACCGTGCTAGCTGCTCTGAGGAGCACCCTAATATCCATCCAGTGGATAATGACAGCCTCCCTAGCAACTGGGGTTCAGTAAAGCTGGGAATGTCAGTCAGGTGCTTACCCCGGCAGGCTAGTGGAGTTCAAACTTATGTACATCAGTTTGCCTGTGGCCCTTGTTTAAATGCTGATTCCTAGGCCCCGTTCCTGGATAGGTCTGGGAAGGAGCCTAGAAATCTGTATTTTTATTAACCTCCATAAGTACCTCTGACAAACATCAAAGTTTATAATACCACCCTGTAGTGTTTGTTTAGTATGGCAAAAGCGGCTTTGTAGTCAAACAGGCCTGGGTTCAAGGATCTGTTCTTTCATTGAACAGCTATATGACCTTGAGTGTATATGACCTTCAGCTTTCTTGCTTCCATTTTCCCATCTGCACAGAGGCTGCTGCTGTCATTGGCTGCCATCGAATTGGCCCTGGATTCATGGCAACCCCATGCCCAAGAGAATGAAATGCTGCCCAGCCCTGTGCCAACCCCATGACGGGTTGCAGATCAGACCACTGTAAGCCACAGGGTTCTCACTGGCTGGTTTTTAGAAGCAGATCACCAGGCCTTTTCTCCTATGTCATTTTACTCTGGAAGCTCTGCTGAAACCTGCTTAGCCTTAGCCTCATAGTAACACGCAAGCTCCTGCGGACAGATGGGTGGTGGCTGCCCATGAGGTGTGTTGGCCAGGAATCAAATCCCAGTTTCCCACATAGAAAGCAAGAATCCTACCATTCACCCACCAATTGCCTCTGAGAAAACAAACAACAAAAAAATCCCCAAACCCATTGTTGTCCAATTGATTCTGACTCAGTGTAGAACTGCCCTATAAATTTTCCAAGGCTGTAATAAATCTTTACGGAAGCAGAATGCCTCATCTTTCTCCCGTAGAATGGCTGGTGGGTTCGTACCACCGACCTGCTGGTTAGCAGCTGATTGATGAACCACTGTACCATGAGAGCTCTATTATAATGTTCATTTCATCGGGTTAAGGAGCCCCAGTGCCACGGTGGTAACATGTTTGGCTGGTGGCCATTCAAACTCACCAGCCGCTCCACAGGAGAAAGATGAGGCAATCTGCTTCTGAAAAGATTACAGCCTTGAAAACCCTATCAGGCAGTTCTACTCTGTCCTTTAGGGTCACTAGGAGCTGGAACCAGCTGGAAGGCAATGGGCAATGGGTTCTGGGGTTATTTTATAGATTGATGCATGTAAAACAGTTTGCAAAGTGTTTGGCACACAGTAAGTGCTCAGTGGACTGTAGCTAGAAACCAAACACAATGCAGCCCCCATCCTTCAATAATCTTAATTGAAAACATTTCCAATATTAAACTCATTTGGATTTAGCAGAAAGTTCTGGTCTTTCTCTCATGCTTAGTGGCAGTCAAAGCGCTAAAGTCATCTTCTTAAAAAATGCAGTCTTCGAGGTTACTGTTATTTTCTTGAGAACACATAGGCCAATTGGATTTTTGTTGGTGGCGCAGTTTGCAGTCATAAATCCATCCTTCTGCTCAGGGCAACATGGAAGGAGAATGCCCCTGGGATCACATTTGGCCAGAAAAAAAGAGATAAAGTATAAATGGAAAAGTTTGCATCCCCCTTTCTGCTCTGCAAAGTACTTGACTTAACATTTTCTGTAGGAGGTAATTCTGGTTATTTTTACCTGCCTGATTGAAGGCTGGCAACGTGGAGCCTGGGTTAATTTAATTCTAAATTTCAGAGATGCCGAGCCTTGCAGAAGTGTTAACTCTTCTGGCCCCAGGAAGGATGGGCCCAGCCATCCTTGGCCCTGGCACACTCCACTAAGGAAACTCTACTTGATAACGGTGCATGAGGGTCTCTGTCTCTCTTTGTGGCCCAGGTACCATTACTACGGCATTGCAGTGAAGGAAAGCTCCCAATATTATGACGTGATGTATTCCAAGAAAGGAGCCGCCTGGGTGAGCGAAACAGGCAAGAAAGAAGTCAGCAAACAGACAGTGGCATATTCACCCCGGTCCAAACTTGGAACGTTGCTGCCAGAGTTTCCAAATGTCAAAGATCTAAATCTGCCAGCCAGTCTGCCCGAGGAGAAGGTAACCGGCTTGAAGCGATAACAGGGCCTGATCGGGAGCATGCTCTCTCTTCCTCCCTCCCTCCCATCTCACCTTTCTTACAAAACAACGAGGTTAAAATATAAAGACAAAAATCTGAATCAAGTATGGACTTCAGTTAATAGTCATGTATCATCACTGGCTCCTTAGTTGTGACAAACTCACCAGACGAATATAACATGTTAGTGATAGGGGTCACTGGATGTGGGGTATATGGGGGCTCCCTGTTCTATCTTTGCAGCTTTTCTAGAAATACTAAAACTATTTTAAAATAAAAAAAGTTTTTTTTCCTCTCTCTCTGCCTCTTTCTCTCTGTCTCTCTCATACAGGTACATGTATATCATGTATCGTATGTATTTAATATGTTGATATGATGTTGCTCTATCCCATTTCATGAGAGAAGGACCCCTCTCCTCTGGATTGCTTTGCCACAGGATGAAATTCATTTTCCTGTGTGCTGCAGGGGGTATGGTGAAACCATAGTCCTGCAGACAGAGAAGGTTTTATGGGTAGAATGAATCAAGTAGTTCTGGTCATAGGGGATTTGGAGGAAAGTATTAGAAAAAGAAGTTTTGGGAAGTGTCCCCTGGGGTATCACAGTTCTGATGCACCTCTCTTGGTGCAGCCCAGAGCACCAACAGGTGCTGAGCTTCTTCTGTGGCTGTCCGTCCCATAGGGGCTGGTGAATGGGCCAGGAGTCTTGCTCTCAAGAACCTTACCAGTCAAGTGGGGGACACAGGGGTTTGTAGAAGCAAAGTTTATCTAAAATGCATGTTTATGTCCTGAAACATTCTTCTTTATTTTGCCCCAATGAACCAACTCCCTGTACCATGACTTTAAAATTCTTGGATAAATGGAACCAGAGATGCAATTCTTTTGCTAAGAAGATTCCAGAAAATTTCCAAATGTCTTCTTGTGATTTTGGCAGAAGCACTGCTTCTAAATACACACGGGGTTTTAGCTTTTCAGTATCTTAGCTGATGAGAAGAATTTAGTTCAGTAAACTCTGCTGCACACTTACTATGTGCTGAGCACTGTGGTAGGTACTGGGTACACAAGCATGAGTAAAAAGCAACTTCTCTTTTCCTGGGGGCCCATAGAACTGGGGAGTGGAGACACAGCCGAGTGAGAAACTGATGCTTTCAGTAGCACAGCTTTAGTGGTCCGAAGGAGAAACACAGGGGAGGGCACCAAGGGTAAGAGAAGAGGAGTGAGTGGAACCTTCCTCAACAGGGAATGAATGAGTTGAAAATAGAAACCCCTCAGGCAGCTGTAATGTGTATTAACTTATGCCTTTACTGCCAATCCCTCCCCCCACAGGTGTCTACCTTCATTATGATGTACAGAACACACTGTCAGAGAATCCTGGACACTGTAATCAGAGCCAACTTTGATGAGGTAGGTCAACAAGTGTTAGCTGTAAATACTGTGCATTAAAACACTGTTATAACATGAGTTCCTACTTCCTGAGCCCCTACTTCCTGAGCCCCTGCTGGGTGCCAGGCTCCATGGAGACCCTCTGTGCATATTAATCAGCTCACTGAATCTGCACTGTGATCCTATGAAGCAGGTACTATTATTGTCCCCATTTTACAGATCTTGTATTTTCATAGAAATAGGCCCGGCCTTTTTCTTGGTTTAACGAGGGAATCACGTCCTGCCCCACTGGTGTACCAGGGAGACCATTTTGCCAGGGTCTAATTACACCCGAAACTACAGGCTAAGAGAAACAAAAGGCAAGTTTTCTTGTGTTTTGGATTTCATCTTTTCCTGAGGCTCATGCATTTCAGTGCATTTGGAGCTGGTTGCCGTCCATCCTCAAGGTCTGCGCCCCACTTCCGTCAAATCTCAGCAGCAGGGCCATCTTTGAATACAAAAAACGTAAGGCGCTCCTTCCATTCCTATTTTTAAATATTATGGGCTAAGAATGGAGAGGGGGAAAGGAGAAGGGACCGAAGCCCAAAAAAACACTGAAGCCTGTTACATAATCTGAGACAATAAACTCCTCTTGTCTGACATGCCATCCAAAGACGCCTTCCGGAGGGGTGGCAAGAACCCACAGGTTTCAGCCCATAAACCAGAGGCCCTTCTGTTTCAAGAAAACGTCTCTCAGGCCAAAATACCCTGGACTGGGAGGTGGACATTCACTCTGAAGGAAGACAGTGCAGGCTCTGGCAGGACTGTCAAAGCTGCAGTTACTGGTGGAAAAGATCCCAGGGATTCCCTGGACAGGACGTTACTACAGGCCGAGAGGTAGAACATGATGTGCGAAATGCTCTTCCCTCCCATATTCTGCTTGCACCACTGTGTCTCCCAGCAGCGAACATCTGCCGAGCACCTGGTGCTGCTGTGCTATTGTCTGCCATCAAGTCAATTGTGACTCAAGGTGACCCCGCTGTGTAAATGCTTTACTCGAGTTCACTTGCTTCCTGTTGCCCCAGTAACCCTATGTGGTAGGTGGTATATGAAAGTTGGCCTGTAGATACAGTTCTGGAAGAGATAACACTGTGTTGGCAGAAAAATAGTATTCTTCCTTTTCTTGACTTTCACACATTAGATTTCTAAAATATTCATTATAATCTCTCAAACTTCCCTAGCTACCCTTCAGGTGGATTTTTTTTTTTTTTTTTTTAATCTCCTCTTTCTCTCATACCTAGTTTGGTTATGCCTTAAATTCCAAAGGTGAGTGAAATCAGGGCAAATAATTCATGACTGATTAAGACAACACTAACCACGGTAGCAAATAAGCCCTCAAATCTTAACACAGTAAGACTTCATTTATCACTCAAATCACAATTGGATCAGGATGGTCTTGTTTGGAAGGCTGGTCACTGAAGTGATTCAGAGACTCACGCTCCTTCCACTTCGTGGCTGTACCCTCCTCAAGAGCCTTGGAGTCTTCTTTGTTCAGCTGAGGGCTGGGGAAAAGGATTATAGGGAAGGCATACCCCTTCTTAACCTTGCCAGCCCCACCCCCACCCCCCAAAACAATACTCATCACTTTTGCCCATATCCCATTGGCAAGAGCTAGTCCCTGACCTCACCTTGATACAAGGAGGGCTGAGCATCATGTTTCCTCATGGGGCAGCTGCTCTACACCACAGCTTAGGCTACTACAGACGGGAGCTTAGATCTCTGGTGGACAGCTGTCCCTTTCTGCCATAGTCACAAACAGCAAAACTAGGGACATGCCTCCTTACTCAAAAATCACTCTCATCATCTCATTTCACTGAATTCCTTTTGTTGAATTCCATCACTTATTGGGCGCCCAATGGTGCCAAATACTGCTCTGAGCCCCAGGACTAAGAAGGAAGAAAAGAACACACAGACCAGCAATTAGCATGCAAATATGTGGTGAGAAGTCTAGAAATGGCGAGAGGTGGAATGCTCCTATGGGAAAAAAATCCCATAGTTGGAGTTCCAGACAGGGATTCAAGATGGTTCCTCTTCCTGTGACTGAAAGACAAAAATATTATCTCTGCATTTCTGAGTCATGAATTACTAGAAGGATGAGATGCAACAATGACTGATAAAACTCCCTGTAAACTGTAAAAGGCCATACAAATGCTTGCGCTTGCTCTTATCAGATACATCAACCAGAGAGGTTAAGAGACTTGTCCAAGGTCACATAGTTGGTTAGGGCCAAAGTCATGACTATGTCTTTCCTCATCTGACACCTCTAGTCCAATGTTCTTTTCATCTCCCTAGCAGGGATATTGGGAGCTCTGGTAGCATAGTGGCTAAGACACTTGCCTGCTAACCAGACGGCTGGCGGTTCAAACCCACCAGCCACTCCTCGGAAGGAAGGTTGGGCAATCCTACTTCCGTAGTGATACTGCCTCGGAAACCCAAGGAGGGGTCGCTATGAGTCGGGGCCGACTCGATGGCACATAACAACAACAACAACAAGCAGGGATATTTGGTGGCTATTTTTAGGATGGTTAATCAAGATGTGGTTCATTCTACTTAAGCACAAAAAAATTGAAGGGGGATATTTTAGCTCTGAGGAGCTTGGTTTTCTCCTATAGCTGAGAAAAGTCATTGATAAGTGCATGGTGGGTACATCTGGTACATCCTGAATTTATGGTTTGTTTCAAGTCTTCAAGATCTTTAATCTCTGTTGCAACTAAAATGTATGGTCATATCACAATCTTAAGTTCTCTTGTTGGCTTGTCCATTGCCGTTTGTTTCCTACCACCACACTGTAAGGTCTTGAGGCAGGGATCTCCCCTGTTTTGTTCATCACAGTGTCCTTACCAGCCTTACTATTAAGCACTCAGTAAATAGTTGCTGAGTGGGTGATGGGTGGATGGACGTGGACATGCCACTGACTTGTGGCATTGTCAAGCAGTTACAAAGAGTTCAAGTCTGTATGTAGAGAACTCCCTGCAAAGCCTTCTGCAGCCTGCATTACGCAAAGAACAATAAAGTCACATAGTCCGAGTGCCAACTCTACCACTTACTAGCCTGTGACCTTGAACAAGTTACTTAATCTTTGGGAACCTCGGTTTCTTTTGATATAAGATGGAGATAATTATTATATCTAGGTCATACAACAACAACAACAAAGCTCATAGTAAAACTGTGATGGTCACATGAAATTGTGTATGTAATATATGTGTATTAAGAACACAACAGTAAATGGTAGCTATTTTGGTAGTTACTATTTTCCTGAGATCCTTCTCATATTGTAGTGATTAATTAAATACTCCTGATTGGAAATGATCAGATGTGTTTCCACAAGAGTCTACTATATTAGGAGTGAATTTAACATGGCCATGGAAAAGAGAAAGAAAATTTGCCAAGGAAATCATCTGACACTTCACTGAGCCCAGAGAAAAAGGGCTGACAGTTCAGGGGATTGAAACCCATAACCATGGAAACTTATTTTAAGAAATCATTTTCAATCATTTACTTCTGATTCTTCCCCACTTGTGCTTGAAGGAGGAAGGAGAACTTATCAAAATTCTCCTTTCTGTCTAATAATAATTTTCCATTTGTTAAATGCCTACACGATGCCAGACATTTTACGTAAGTTACTTTTTTTCATTCTAACAAGAGGTAGGCATCATTACCTCTATTTTATAAAAGCTGGTAACACTCATATTTATATATTTATTTAGTCCTGAGCTCCAGATTCATTTGTCTTGACATTTAACTTAACATGGACAAATCAGAACTCTTAATATTCTGCCCCAAATCTGCCATGCCCGAGTGTTAAGTTGCCACCACCCAACTGAGCAAGCCATAAACCTGGATTCTTCCCTTTCTCTCATCATCTGTGTCCAGTCCACAGGAACGTCAGTCGGCTCTACATGCCAAATATAAACGCTGCGTCTGTGTATCTCACAAGTGTGAGGGCCAGGATTCAAATGCACATCTAACCCCCACGTCTCCACCTTTGGGCTTTATGCTGCTCTCCCTGCCTCCCCATCTTTCTCCACACACCCACCTAACTGGTGCCATTGGAACAAAACAAAACAAACAAACCCATTGCTGTCAAGTCGAGTTTGACTCACAGCAACCCTATAGGACAGAGGACAACTGCCTCACAGGGTTTCCAAGGCTGTGATCTTTACAGAAGCAGACTGCCACATCTTTCTCCCACAGAGTGGCTGATGGGTTCGAACTGCCAACCTCTCAGCAGCCAGTGTTTAACCATGGTGCCACCAGGCCTCCTTATTGGACGTTCCAAAAAACCAAAACCACTGCCATCAAGTGGATTCCAACTCATTAACGACCCCCATTGGGTTTCCAAGCTGTAAATCTTTGTGGAAGTAGATTGCCTCACCTGCCTTCCACAGAGCAGCTGGTGGGTTTGAACCACCAACCTTTTGGTTAGCATCCAAATGCCTTACCCAGTATGCCACCAGAGCTCCAAATGCAGTGAGTAGGAGGGGAGGTCAAACTAAATCATGCCCCCTCTGAATATGCTGCACTAGAAATGCAGGACGGATCACGGTGCCTGTGCAGCTTGAACAAGCTGGAAACAGACGCCTGCTAAAGACACCAATTTTCCACAGATTTGTTTTAGCCTACACAGCAGCTGATCTTTTCCAGACTAAGTGCCAAAAATTAACTGCTTATATAAAAGAGGAGTAGGACTGCGTGCAAGGAGAAATAAGTAAGGCAAATGCATTCAGAATCTACCAAATCTTGGGATCTACTGGGCAGAGCTTCTTATTCCAAGTGGAAAGGGCAGACAAGGAGGTCCAGGGCCTGGCCTGAAGCTGAGCCCAGGGATGGGCAGGGAGGATCCTCTGGAGGGCACGCACCTTGTCCAAGAGTTGTGGCTCTCTCCAGGCCCAGGTCAGGCCGTAAGTCAGCTGCCAGGTGTCCCGATGACTGTATACGTGCCTGGACAGGTCAGCAGAGTTATGGGGATCCTGGCTGAGTGACTCTCAGCAACTTAGACTAGAGTGCCTCAAGTGCTTGGGGGCAGTACACTGATTTCTTGTGGCTGCTAGTGGTAACGTCTCCATGATCTAGCATGTGCCAAGCACTATCAGAAGTACATTTTGAGGAATATTTACCAAAACCTATGACAGATTTTGATTCTCATTTTATAGATAAGGAAACAGGCTTAGAGATGTTGTATTCCACATTGGTAGTGGAACCAGGATTGGAACCCAGGCCAACTTTACTCACCTGGATCTTCTTTGCTTTAATTTTCTCTCTAGATGAAAACTTGACCATATTTTCCATGTCATGGAATAAACGGAACTGTGATTTAAGTTTCACAGTCTACAGAGTTGACTTCATGCAACACTTTGAATCATGTTTTTGACACTGACCATTTTCTCCTCTAGGAAATCAGAGGGGTGTGCCTCCCTTCCCCATCCCCTCGTTCCCAGGCCTCCTCCCACCCAGTGCAGACAGTGGGCATCAGGGAAGTCCGTCCACAGGGAGCTGAGCTCAGTCACCCTGCTGGGGGCAGGGCAGTGCTCTACCTCCTGGGGGCAGCCTGGTCAGAGGAAGACAAGTACCTACTCCTGGGAAGGGCCTGAAGGACAACGGAAGCCCAGGGGGGACACAGGCATCGGGAATGGGGTAGAAGCCTAGTTACCATGTGATGAGGAGATTAGCAACCAGACTGGATGGTGGAAGGATCCAAGCAAACATGGGCTCTACCTCAACTCTTCCCTGACTTGCTGTCTGTTTTTTAACAAATAATGTCACAGTTGTAGGATTATTGTGAGCATTAAACGAGAGAACCTATTCAAAGTTTCCGGCATCTAGTAGGAGCCCAACAAATAAAGCTAATGGCAATAATAACATCTCCTCCAAAGTCCTAGACTGGAGAGAATAAACGATCTTTTGCACCAGATCAGGACTGGTTTGGGGAACCAGGAATGTGGGTAATGCTGCTTGTCCATCTATAGAGGAAAGATGGACACATAGTCCAGGAACCAAGTCATGCCATCTAGCATCCCCAGTGGCACCAACCAGCCAGGGCTCTTTGAGGAAACAGAGGTATTTGGATGTGAAGAGGCCCTTGCACTTTGCCTAGTTTTGGGCGCAAAAATTTGAATCAAAATAATTTTGTTTGTGCCCCTTCTCTCCTCCCTTCCAGACCCACTGTTACCTGCAACTCTCACACCCAGGGGCCCATGGGTAACAATGGGTAACAATGGGTTCACAGAACAGCGATTGCCTATGCTCTGATGCAATATCCCACGCCCCTTTCTTAACCGTCTCTCAGAACACAGTAAGCATTCAGTGGATTGGGGCCAATGGATTAATGTTTTCCTCCTCTCTCCCAGGGCAGAGGAGACCCCAGGCTCCCAGACCAGCAGTTCTCAAGCAGTGGGAAGACTTGGGGCAGAAGGAGCTTCCAGGGCTTCCTAAGCCACAAGAGGCTGGAGGCGGCTTCCCAATCCCCAGGGGGAGTGGATGGCAGCATTGACACTGGGCCTGCCTCATGGAGTCCCGAAGCTCTGTTGGGAGAGCCCTGTGTAACCTCACATTTCCTCTCCTCTCTGTGCGTCTATGCAGGTTCAAAGTTTTCTTCTGCACTTTTGGCAAGGGATGCCGCCCCACATGCTGCCCGTGCTGGGCTCCTCCACGGTGGTGAACATCGTTGGCGTGTGTGACTCCATTCTCTACAAAGCTATCTCGGGGGTGCTGATGCCCACGGTGCTGCAGGCATTACCTGACAGGTGGGCAAAGGTGTCCTTGTCTCCTTTAACCTGTATAACCTACTTGTGTTCAGAGCCATTAGAATTCTTTTTATAAACCAACCTATTTTTCTTTTATTAGGTGAGTTCAGCCCATCTACATTTGTTGATACAACAGATACTTTTGTTCTTAGTACTCTCAATTTATTTGATATTATTACATATTTTTTATAACTTTTAAATATGATTGTTTCACTTTAGGTTTATTGAGGGCATACTTTATATACAGTACAATTTACCCCTTTTAGAGTATACAATCAAAATATAGAAGAGGTCCATCACCTCAGAAAATTTCCTCATGCTCCTATTTAGTCAATCTTTCTTTCTATCCCCAACCCCTGGTAATCACTCAACTATTCTCTTTCACTCTAAACCCACTGCCATCAAGTTGATTCCAACTCATAGCAACTTACGCTTTTTCCAGAATGTTATATAAATGGAATTATACACTACATAGCCTTTTGAGTCTGGCTTCTTTCACTTAGCATGATGAATTTGAAATTCAACCATGGTTTTGTGTATATCAGTAGTTTGTTCCTTTTAAGAGCTGAGTAGTATTCCATAATATGGATATATACAGTTTGTTTATCCCCAGCTAAGGGGCAGTTGAGTTGTTTCCAGTTACGGCCATTATGAATAAAGCCAGTATCAACATCCACATACAGGGTGTTATGTCACTTTTCATTTTTCTTGCGTGAACACCTAGAAGTGGGATTGCTTAAGGGGCTCTGGTGGTGTAGTGGTTAAAACATTTGGCTGCTAACCAAAAGGTCAGTGGTTTGAATCCACCGGCTGCCCCATGGGAGAAAGATGAGGCTGTCTGCTTTCATAAAAGATTTACAGCTTTGGAAACCCTATGGGGCAGTTCTACTCTGTTCTGTAGGGTCACTATGAGTTAGAATCAACTTGATGGCAGTGGGTTTTGAGTTTTGGGGGATTGTTTAGTTATATAAGTATATCTTTAACTTTATTTTTAAAATGCCAAATTGTTTTCTAAAGTACATTCCCACAAGCTATGTATGAAGCTGCTGTTGCTCTACATCTTCACCAGCACTTGGTATTGTCAAAGTTTTTTGTTTCTTTGATTTAGTCATTCTAAAAGGTTGGGCAATCTACTTCCATAGTGATACCACCTTGGAAACCCAAGGAGGGGTCACTATGAGTCAGATTCAATTTGATGGCAGTGTGTTTGGTTTTGGTTTTTTGTATTTTTTGAAGTATCTTTTCAAGTCTTTTGCCTACTATTTTTTTTTAATTGGGTTGTTTGTTTTATTACTATTGAGTTTTGAGAGCTCTTTATATATTCTGGATACAGTTCTTTATCTGACATGTATTTTGAAAATGTTTTCTCCCAACTTGTGTCTTGCATTTTCATTTTTTTTTTAACAGTATCTTTTAAGGAGCAGAAGTTTTTAATTATTTGATGAAGTCTCATTTTTCAATATTTTCTTTTATGGATTTGGCCTTTGATGTTGTATCTAATAATTCTTTACCAAAAGATCACAAGAAATTTCTCCTATTTTTTCTTTGAGAAGTTTTCGGTTTTACATTTTTTACATTTTACAGTTTTGTAGACTTTCGGTCTATAACTCATTTTGAGTTAAGTTTTGTATATGATGTGAGTTATGGTTCAAGGCTCATTTTTCATTTTTGCGTATGACGGTCCAACTATACTAGCACCATTTGTTGAAAAGACTATCTTTCTCCAGTGAATTGCCTTTGAAACTTTGTGAAAAATCAATTGGTCATATAAGTGTTAGTCAAAATCAATTGGTCAACTTTCCTTTTGCAAATACCACACTGTACTGATTATCATAGCTTTATAGTAAGTCTTTAAATCAAGTAGTGTGTGCCCTCCAACTGGATTCTTCTTTTTCAAAATTGTTCCCTTGCTTTTACATATTAATTTTGTGGAATTTATAAAATATCCTGCTGAGATTTTGGTTGGGGCTTTATTGAATCTATAGGTCAAATTTTAAATAATTGATATCTTAGCAATATTGAGTCATTCAATTAATGAACACAGCATATCTCTACATTTATTTAGGTTCTCTTTGATTTCCTCCAAAAGTATTTTGTAGTTTTTAGCATATAAATTATTCATCCATTCACCAGCTAAATGGTATTTGAGTTGTTTCCAGTTTGGGCTATTATGAATAAAACCAGTATCAACATTCAGGCCAAGCAGTACAATAAGGCATTTATATTTTAGAGTGACTAAAGATATAAAAGTCTTTTTATTTACTTTCATTCTAAAGATTTCTGCTCTTCATTTCTTTGTGTAGATTTAAGCTTCTGTGTAACATAATATTCCTCTGCCTGAAGAATTTTCTTTAACATTTCCTGTAGTACAAGTCTGGTGGCAATGAATTATTCCTGTTTTTTTTTTTTTCAGTTAGTTTGGGTTTTTTTGTTTGTTTGTTTTTATTACTCCTTGGGATTTTCTGAGCTTTTTAGATCTGTGGTTTGATGTGCTTCATTATTTGTGGACTATCCCCAGCCATAATATCTTCAAATACTTCTTCAGCTCTATTTGTGCTCTCTCTTCTCCTTCTGTGATTTCTGTTACATATATGTCAGACCATTTGATACTGTCCCACAACTCTTCAATGCTCTGTTTCACTTTTTCTTTCATTTTTCCCTTTGTGTTTC